TATTATTGTCGGAGCATCAGTTCTTGGCCTTAGCAAACTTTTAATGTATCGCTTCTGGTATGGGTATGTAAAAGAAAAATATGGTGATAAAGCCCAGCTTGGATATAAGGATACAGACTCATATTTATTTCAAGCTAAGACTGAGGATATCTATAAAGACATGGCAGAGCGACCTAATCTTTTCAATCTTAATGATTCTAAGACTATTGGGTTTTTTAAAGATGAGACTCCAGGCAATGTGATTATAGAATCTTATCATATCCGGGCTAATTCATATCACTATATCTTAGCAGATAAATTTACAAAGTCTAAGCATAAGGGGTTAGTAAAAAAAGGCATAAATGAAATGGCTACGAATTTATACATGCCAGCTTTAAAAGGGTCCTTACTAGATGATCTGATAGATAGATCATTATTATCAAAGCAAGAAGCTATGCGAACTGAGGCAGATCCTATGACCCTAGTATATCGGGACTATCTGTTTAATAAAGAAGTATTCTATGCCAAAAATGTGGGTATTCGTTCAAAAGACCATATATTATCTTTGGTTGAATCAGAAAAGAAAGCTTTTTGTCTATAGATACTAACCCTAACTATTAACTAATCTCACCCTACTCTAACCATCAAAATCATCATGTAAAGAGACACCACAAAATCCACTAAAAGCATGAACCTACATAAGCGAAACCGAAAAGCTCCAAACACTGAAATTGGCACGCTATGAAATCAACAGCACCACATAGATGAAGTGACAGTAACCTTAACTTTAAGGACAACAACTCCTAAAAAAAAAAAAATAGTTGGTAAAACACGTACACGAAACCAACAGTGAAACTCTAGAAAAATGAAAGCAATAACTCAATCCACAAAAAATAGCAAACTAACAAGAGCGGGAACCCGGAGAAGATATCGAAATCGACACTACAATGAAATGCCAGTAACGATGCAACACAAAATCTACCGAAATCAAAGATGGCACAACATAATAATACAACACAAAATCTACTGAAATCAACGACGGCACAACATAACGATGCACCACAAAATCTACCGAAATCAATGACGGCACAACACCAACGAAGCAACGAAGACTCTACAAACGATGACTTCAATAACAATACCTAGTTACCTGAAAAAAAGAGTTTGGTTAGTAAAACATATATACAGATGAAATGCCAGTAATAATGCACCACAAAGCCTACCAAAATCGACGATGACACCACACCAACGAAGACTAGCTCCAGGACGAAGACTTCACAAACGATGACTCCAGTAATGACACCTAGTTGCCTGAAAAAAAGAGGGTGGTTAATAAAACACACATACTGTACTAGAAAAACAAAACCTATAAATTTACACAGGCAAAATGCCGTCAACGATGCACCACAAAGCCTACCAAAATCGATGACAGCACTACACTAGCAAAGACTAGCTCCAGTAGCAACGACTCCACAAACGATGACTCCAAAGATGATGACTCTAAAGATGACAACTCCAATAACAATGCCTAGTTACCTGAAAAAAAAGTGTTTGGTTAGCAAAACATATATGCACTAGAAAAAAAAAAAAAAAAAAGCAAT